TAAAAGTCGACACTTCCTAGTTCCAGTAGTTCTGAGAGCAGAACCAAACAGAAGAGTTCGGAGTTCTGAGACATGAACCGGAGTTCTGGGAGATGTTCTGAAAGTTCTGAGACATGAACCGAAGTTCTGAGAGCAGAACCGAACAGAAGAGTTCTGGGAGCACAGGAGAACAGAAGTTCTGAGTTCCTCTGAGTCTTCTCAGAGTCCCGTTAAGTTCTTCTGGTACTGATGAAGTTCGGCTGGAGTTCCTGTAGGAGCCACGATGCCTTGCTGTGGCTCCACCTGGTGAAAGCTTATAACTTCTGAGGAGGTTTGTTCTGTGGAACGAGTTCTCACGACTTCTGCCGAGTCACAGCCGCCCTGAGGAGACGCTGAAAGGTAGCGTACCAGGGACCTCTTGACTGCCGCGGATTCATCCTCCGCCAAAGGTAAAGAGTCGTCATGAGCTTCACTACCAGTGTACCGCAGGCGAACTGCGCTTGAAAGGAGCGTGTTGTTCTGGTCTACAGACATACATCCTCATCCACATATTTTCTCTCCGTTTAAACTCCTTCATTTCCCATCTTTAAAACTCTTCTATCTTGCCAGTAAAAGATAAGCTAAAAGTCTGCAGATATTGATTTAAGATCTAAGGATATGTCTGTTGTAATAAGCTGCAAGTGAGAAATCATGGCCGTATGATTTCTCATTGTAAAGCTCATTAATTAAGCTGTGTTATTGCGTTCAATCAGAATAATCAAGTGTACAATGTTGATGTTAAATTTTGATTCTGTTAATAAATGACCACATTCATTTTGATGGGTCAAAGAAAATTAACGTCTCACGTCACTGTACTTATAAACACAATATCTCTCTCACATATCTGTCAAGTAGCTCGAAAAAGAGAGAACCCGTCATTAAATATTGATTGTAGTGGCGCTCCTACGCTAACTAACCCTACATCACTACAGTTAGCAGGCTATCTCTCCAGGATAAGTAAGATTCCTCAACGTTAGTGGAGCGCCATTTTCTTTCCAGCTTTCTAAATGTCTGTTTTATAGTACGTAACTCAGAAATGAATTAAGGAGCTAATCTCCTCTGATTGATTACTTTATTTTTCAGCGGAACAGCTTTATTGAGTGAAGTTTGCATTGAAGTTGTAAAATTATCAACTAGATGATCTAAGTCACCGCTCTCTGAAAATGATGGAAGAGAATCTTTAAATTTGGTTACAGCATTTTCTGATAAGCACCTGTTAAGGTGAAATTTACTCTAAGTGGCTGTGTAGTCATTTAATGTAAACTCAAATGTAATTAAAAAATGGTCAGACACAACAGGACTTTGAGGAAATATTACAAAGTTATTACTTTCGATGCCATAGGTCAGAACCAGGTCAAGGGTGTGATGATGAGAGTGAGTAGATGTTCGGACGTTTTGGGTAAAAACAGTTGACTCTATTAACACATTACACACACACACACACACACATACATATATATATATAATAAATAGTCCCTAAAATAGCTTACAGTGAACTGGCACTGAATGAATAAATTGAAGTGAGAACTGTTCTGTTCTCAGATGAATCCAGATGTAAAAAGTATTTTTGAACACCACATCCAAACTAAAGAGGAGCGAGATCTATTATCAGCACACAGTTCAAAAGTCAGCCTCTCTGATGGTATGTGGGTGCATTACCACCTCTGGCACAGGCAACCTACACATCCTACAACCTACAACACAGAATAAATACAGATTTAACAACATTGCTCCCATCCAGAGGACATTCAGCTGACGCTCACGCTGCATCCAGGACACCAGAAGAGTCCAGTTGCTGAACGGACCTGCCTGCAGTCAAAACCTGCCTGCAGTCCATATCTTGCACCAGCTGAAAACACTTCATGCATTATGAAAGGAAAAACAAATCCACCACAGAACAGCAAGGCCTGACGAACAGCCAGAGTCCTACATTAGACGGGATTCAACAACTGGTCTCCTCAGTTCCTCCTAAAAATCAGAGAAATCTGGACCTGGAACAACTTTTTACAAGATGTGTTGTTATAAAAAAAAAAAAAAACCTTCCTGTTTTGACATGTAAACACACGTGTATAAACATCTGATGTGTTCACTGTAGAATCAAATATGGGTTTATGACGTATCAGTGCAGTTAGTTTTATTAACACGTTCTGCAGATGTTTTAGAGACAGGATGAGACTCACCGGGCAGAGCCATGGTCTTCAGCTCGCTGGGCTCGCTCGGGTTGCGCTGCAGCTTGCGTTTGGACATGGAGGACGACTTGCCCAGGTTGAAGAAGGACCGCCAACTGCCCACAGGAGACTTCTTTGATTTAATTGGAGGTCTTTTCCTACAACAGAGAAGTTTGTTACTACAGTGACGGTGGAGTGTTCGTGCTGCTGCAGGAACATCTGGACTCCAGCAGGACGCCAATCACTCTCATGGTGTTGGTTTCAGTTTGACTCTTTGTTCTCTGGCTTTATGGCATTTAGAACATTTTGGATTTTCTTGCTCAGTTTCACTCATCCCAGTCTGTACTCCGTGGTTTCAGTCATTTGGATTTTAAAGCTACTTCTCTCTTTCCTGCAGTTTGGGACGATCTAAACATTAAAATTTTGACAAACACACTAAAGTTTGTATTGTTTCAGTGCTGTGTCCACACAGAAATCTTGTTTAAAGAGCCCAGAACTGTATTTTCTGAAAATGAGTTCCACAGTGGGCAGCATGGTGGTGCAACTGGGAGAGCTGTTGCCTCTCAGTGTGCAGGTTACCCTGGTTGAAATCCCGGCCGGGGACCTTTCTGGGTGCAGTTTGCATGTTCTCTCTGTGCTTAGTGGGTTTTCTCCAGGTACTCCAGTTTCCTCCCACAGACCAAAAACATGCATGTTAGACTGACTGGTAACTAAATTGTCCCTAGGTGTGAGTGAGAGTGTAAATGATTGTTTGTCTCGTTTGTCTCTATGTGTCCCTGTGATGGACTGGAGACTTGTCCAGGTGTTCCTGTGATGGACTGGAGACCTGTCCAGGTGTCTCTGTGATGGACTGGAGACCTGTCCAGGTGTCCCTGTGATGGGCTGGAGACCTGTCCAGGTGTCCCTGTGATGGACTGGGGACTGGAGACCTGTCCAGGTGTCCCTGTGATGGACTGAAGACCTGTCCAGGTGTCCCTGTGATGGACTGAAGACCTGTCCAGGTGTCCCTGTGATGGACTGGAGACCTGTCCAGGTGTCCCCCGTCTCTCGTATAGTGATGGCTGGACATGGACACCAGTGACCCCCACTATCCTACAAAGGAAGAAGCGGGTAAAGATGATGGATGGTTCCACAGTGGCACAACCTTGAAACACCACCTCTGCTTGTGTGGACAACTAAAACACAGTTATTTGAAAACTCTGATGTCATAGAGCCATTCAAAAAGCGTTCAATACAAAAACAACTGGACTTTAT